CACGCCCTTCGAGGTAGCCGCCGACCCGTCTCGAGCCCGCGCACCTGCTCGTCGAAGCGTCAGCGTGCTCGAGTTGACGCTGCGCACGAGCGGGCTGACGAGCTTGCGCCGCAGGCTCTCGAGGTTGGCCTTGAGCGTCAGCAGCCGGCCGTTGTGCTCGACGAGCACGCCCTTGTTGCGCACCGTCTTCTCGCGCACCGTCTGCAGCAGCAGCTTGTTGCGCGCAAACTTGGCCACGGCCCCGGCGTTGGCCCCGAGGATCCGCGTCCACAGCGACGCCAGCACCTCGGCCTGCATGTCCTCCTGCGCGCTGGCCTCGCGCACCACCGTGCGCGCGAGGTTGAGGAACTGCCGGTCGATGGCCTCGAAGAGCCCAAACAGCGCGAGCGAGTGCTGCAGCTCCGCCTCGATCGCCTCCTCGAGCACCGACAGGAACTCGTGGAACGTCCGCTCGAGCGCCTGCTGCGTGCGCTGCGGGCTCGACAGCCCAAAGAGCGCCGTCACGAGCGCCCCCACGCGCGTCGGGCCGCCGGCCGCCGTCTCGAGCACCCCGGCCCGCGACAGCAGGTTGTGCACATTGTCAAACGCCGACGTCAGCGCCGGCGGCGACGCCAGCTGCTGCACCTGCGCCAGCTCCCGGCGCGCCCAGTCCATGACGATGAGGATCCCGTCAATGTCGCCGTCGACGTTGGCGAAGAACTTGGTCAGCTCCACGGCGAGCGTCTTGAGGCTGTCGCTGAGCTCGTCGAGCTCCTTGACGATGATGGGCGCCGACGTCATGTTGCTCGACCGCACGCTCTCGCCGAGATCCCACACCGCCACCCCCGTCGCCTGCAGGTCGCCGACCTGCGACGCGCCGTTCTCCGAAAAGTAAATGAGCGGCTCAAACGACCGCGCAATCCCCGCCACCTTGACAAGATCCGGCACCGGCCTGGGCGTCGCCGGCTGGAAGAGGTTGCGGAGCGCCGTCGCCGAGAGAACGGCGACGAGGACGGAGAGAATGAGCGACGACCACGACTTGGTCGCTGCGGCCCACCGCGCGCGCAGAAAATGGACGGCCCGTTCAATCGGTTCCGTGCGCTGCTGCACCTCCGCCCGCAACGCGAATCGAATGTAATTGTCGGGGCCCTCGGCGCTGCGCACCTCACCCAGACTCGATCCCTTCCAGGCCACATCGTCGAGCTTCAGCGTCGTCGTCGTCGTCGTTTCCTCGTGCTTGGGCGCCGGACTCGGCGACCTGCGCTTGTCGGGGCTCATGCTTCCCGTCGGCAGCCTCGTCCGCACGGCGCGGTCGAGGACGTCGTCGCCCAGCAGGTCGGCGTCGTCGTACGCCGGGCTCGACGCGCGCGAGCCCCGCGGCGGGAACGTGCCGAGAATGTCGTTAGTCTTGCGCCAGAAGCCGCTGTCGCGGTTCCCGTTTCCCAGACGGCGCCAGGCCGGAGGACTGTAGCCACCGGGTGAGTCGACGGGGTCGAGCAGGTCGCTCTCCGTGTCGTCGGAACGTAAGCCAGAGTGGTGGGACGGGTAGCCGAAGTGCGGGTGCGCCGGCGTCGTCGGCTCGAAGTCTTGGAGCGAGGCGTCGAGATGATCGAGAGGATCGTGTGCCGTCATGGTGGGCGAGCACGAGAGCGTCCGACTCGGGCGCCGGAAGAGCGGGGAGGACCTTGTCCGTTCCAGTGACTTTGTCCGTTCCCGTGGCCGTGTTGTGGCTGCTCTGTCTGGCGGCGCTGCGCTGGGAAAAATACTGCAGGTTGGGCAGCAACGTGGGTTTCCAGGAGATCTGGATGACGTAGAGGTAGATGAAGACAAAGGCCAAGGTGACCGAGGCGATGTAGGCGCTCGGGGCGATGGTGATGCTCAGCAGCGACACGTTATTGTTGACCGTGACGAGCGAGTAGACCATGGCACCACAGGAATAAGCACCCCGCGCCAGACAGCAGGTGATCGAGGCGTGCTTGGGCGTCGTGTGTAAGTGACAGATAAGGTGAGCCGTACGTCCCAGCGGTGATTGGTGAAGAGATATGTTGGGCGATTCGAGTATACAGTCCCGTCTCAGACAAGGTTTCGTTGATTGAATCGAAAAGAAGGTTGAGAAAGGGTAAAACAAGAGGCAATCGCAGAGCCCAGAGGTGAATGTCGAATAACCAGAGAGACCTACAAGGTACGACGCCCCTACTTTTCAATGGCCACAGGCCATCCGGCCGCGCACTCCAAGGCCAGCTCGAAATCGAGAGGTTGGGAGACGTCGCTCGGTTCCACCACCGCCTCGAGGTGCCCGGACAGTGGCCCCCCCTCCCCTCTCCCCTCTCTCTCACCACCCTCCCTGTCCTGGTAGTCGGAGTAGAGGTTTGAGATGCCTGGCCCAATCGCCTTTGAGGAGCAGGCCAGATGTGCAGGCCCGCTTTCCACCTTTCCTTTTCCGGCTCGAGATGTGGTGTCTGACTCTGGCGGAAACACGACAGGGGTCTTCCTGCGGGAGGGGGGAGCAGATGGCCCGTCGGTCGGGGCGTTCGACCAAAACAAATATGGATATGGAGACAATGGCTGGAATGCTTGGGGCGAAGCAACGATGAATTGATGGATGTATTCGACGGGTTGATAGATGGATGGGCGATGGCCAGGGAGGGGGTCAGTCCCGATCTGGTGAAGAGGGGAAAATCCCGACGCCAAAAGTCGCCAAAGGTCGCCAGATGGTCACGGATGGTCACAGATGGTCACGCATGGGTGTGTGCCAGTGACACGTCTAGAACGGTG